ATATTCTAAAACTGGGCTCATTTTCTTCTCTTCTCTCTCTCCTCTCTCACTCTCCCCTCTTCCCCTCTCTCCCCTCTCCCCTCTCTCCTCTCTCTCCTCCCCTCCCCTCTCCTTCTTTCTTTTCCCTTTCCCTTTTTCTTTTTGCTCTTCCATTAAATTTTCACACCAAACTCAGTAAAAACCTGAAATAATATATATATATATTTTAAGATTTATTTACTTATTTGAAAGGCAGAGTTATAGAGAGGCAGAGAAAGGTCGATCTTCCATCTGCTGGTTCATTCCCCAGATGCCCACAACAGCCGGAGCTGTGCCGATCCGAAGCCAGGAGCCAGGAGCCAGGGGCTTCTTCTAGGTCTCCCACATGGGTTCAGGCCCCAAGGACTTGGGCCATCTTCTACTGCTTTCCCAGGCCACAGCAGAGAGCTGTGTAGGAAGTAGAGCAGCCGGGAATCAAACCAGTGCACATGTGGGATGCAGGCACTGCAGGCGGTGGCTTTACTCCCTGTACTGCAGCGCTGGCCCTGGAATAATAGCTTAAAGAACTTACATGCATCTCTGTTTTGAAATTTTCCTTGTAATTTTCTGATGATCTTACTCCCTTAAAATCAGTCTTGGGTGGTTTCATAACCAGATTTAGTGGTTATCATGTCAGCAGAACGTTTTCCCTCAGTTTTTACATATTGGTTCTACTGTTTTTATATTTAATTTTATTAAAATTTTCTTGTTTTTTACATCTGAGAGGTGGAGAGACAAAGGGCAGGGTCAGGGTAGAGCTCGAGTCCACTGATTCACTCCTCAGATGCCCACGACAGCTGGGGCTGGACCAGGCTGGAGCTGGGAACTCAGTCCAGTTCTTCCACCTGATGGCAGAAATCAAACTCCGTGAGCCATCACTGCTGCCCACCAGGGTGGACACTAGCAGGAAGCTGGAGTCAGGGATTGAGTCCAGGTGTCTGATATGGAATGTGGGTCCCCTAACTGGCAGCTTAACTACTAGGCCAAACACCCATCATCATTTTCTGATATTTCATATAACTGACCACACAATGGTTTTTACCATGTATGTGCTGTTGGGTGTGCTGATTGTTATAGTTTTGCTGCTGTTGGTGTGTTTTTGTTTTCCGCACTTTATTTCTACATCTCTAAAGAACCAGAAAGTTTTGTTTTCAGTTGGATTTTCTGTGCACCGTTAGGGACTGCTGCATGCACTGTTTTTGTGTGTTACATTGCAATACATTGCCAAGGTCTACCTCAGATTTCGTGTCCTATGTGAGTTGATTATCTTCTGGCCCAGCACTCAGCTAGCCTCTGACAGCTGGTGGCACCACAACTCTTTATTTTCTTAGCCTAGGGATGACAAACTGTGGTCTATCGGCCTAGTTTGTTCCACTGCCTGTTTTCTAAGTGAAGTTTCCTTTGGAACACAGAATATATTCATCCATTTAAGTGTTGTCTGTGGCTTAGTTTGCACTAAAATGACAGAATTAAGTAATTGCAGCAGAGATCTGTGACTAGCCAAGTATGAACTATATGCTTTCTTTTTTTTTATTTATTTTTTATTTTTTTTAATTTTTTGACAGGCAGAGTGGACAGTGAGAGAGAGAGAGACAGAGAGAAAGGTCTTCCTTTGCTGTTGGTTCACCCTCCAATGGCCGCTGCGGCCAGCGCGATGCGGCCGGCGCACCGCGCTGATTCGATGGCAGGAGCCAGGAGCTAGGTGCTTTTCCTGGTCTCCCATGGGGTGCAGGGCCCAAGCACCTGGGCCATCCTCCACTGCACTCCCGGACCACAGCAGAGGGCTGGCCTGGAAGAGGGGCAACCGGGACAGAATCCGGCACCCCGACCGGGATTAGAACCCGGTGTGCCAGCGCCGCTAGGCGGAGGATTAGCCTAGTGAGCCGCGGCACCGGCCAGAACTATATGCTTTCTTAAAAAAAATATTTTATTTGCTTGAAAGGCAAAATTAGAAATGAGGGGCAGGTGTTAATCTTCTATCTGTTGGTTCACTCCCCAAATGCCTACAACAACTGGGCTTGGAACAGACCAAAGCCAGGTACCAGGATCTCCATCCAGATCTGCCACGTGGGTGACAGGGGCTCAGGTAGCTGAGCCATCTTCCATGGTGTTCCTAGGCACACCAGCAGGGAGCTGAATCAAAATGGAGAGCAGCCAGGACTTGAACCAGTGCTCATATGGGATTCTGCTGTTGCAGGCAGCGGCTTAATGCACTGTACCACAGCGCTGGCCCCAACTGTTTAGACAAAGACTCAAAGTCTTAGACTCAAAACCTTGCCGCGTCACCTTTGGGATTTCCCTTGTGTATTCTAGCAAGAGAATGAATCTCTTCTTTAATCTTCTTTTTTCCACACTTTATATGTGTTCCGATTCTCACATCCTTGTGCCTGTGGTATTATATTAATCTCCTTCTGTGGTTTCTTTTCCCTGCGTGGTTTGTTTTACACTGTGCCGCCGATTTCTGCTTCTTAGAGTTTAGCTGCCGTCCCCTTGTCCCCTAAATTGAAGACTCCCCACCTCTTCCTTCAGGCTCTTTGCAGCGCAGAAACCCTATCATCTGTGCCCTGCAGAAGCTCCTGTGTAACTCAGCATTCGCCCTTGCACATCCTTGTCAGAGAGGTCCCGTCTGCCAGGAGCTCTCTCTGCCTCCATTCCCATGCTTGCTTCTACCCATGCAAATCCTTACCAACTTCTTCATGAAGCTTTCTTTTTATCTTTTCCTGTCCGCACATTCTCTTTCCCTTCCTGTTTCATTACCTGTGCCTCTCTCTCTCTCACTGAAATGGCATCATTTCTGCTGATGCAGTGTTAGGTTCTTGTGCATCTCCTCCACTAAAAACCATAAGCTTGGCAAGTGCAAGGTGCTTCTCTTCTGTGTTACTACGTGCCCTTCCTCACTCACTGTAATGTCTCAGGTGTGCTTGATCATTAAGCGGTTGAATTGCACTATAAGAAGCAGGCTTTTTAAATCAGATTGAATTATTAGAGTCTCTCTTAGATGTTTGACAGTGACTTTAGGTGTTAGATCTAAAGTTCTTGAAGGAGCCAGATGACAACTGCCTTGTAGAGATAGCTAATGAAAATGGGAGAGATGCCTTCATTTGACAAGGCATTTCACATTTCCTGCAGGAAAATTAATCGTGTGCAGTGATGTGCTTGGTGCTGATAACAAAGGAGAACCAGCTCACAGTGCCAGTCAGCAATTTGCTGGAATATGTTATACAGCCTACCAAAAGTCAGACTTTGTAAACAATTGAAAAAAAAAAAGTTTTTCAGGATTCAAACTGGAAAAATTTTATAAAAATATTGTAAGAACCTAATGAAATACCTACAAATAATGTTAAAATAATATTGTGGGGGCCGGTGCTGTAGTGTAGCAGGTAAAGCCACTGCCTGCAGTGCCAGCATTCCATATGGGTGCCTATTCAAGACCCATCTGCTCCACTTCTGATCCAGCTCTCTGCTATGGCCTGGGAAAGCAGTAGAAGATGGCTCAAATCTTTGGGCTCCTGCACGCATGTGGGAGACCCAGAAGCAGCTCCTGGTACTGGCTTCAGATGGGTCTAGCTCCGGCTATTGTGGCCATCTGGGGAGTGAACCAGTGAATGGCAGATCTCTCTCTTTCCCTCTGCCTCTGTCTCTCTGTAACTCTGTCTTTCAAATAAAAAAGTAAATCTTTAAAAAATAATAATATTGTGTTCTCTGCCTGTTAGTTCATTTAATCCTTCTTGGTATACCTCTTGGAAGATTTTAATGTGGTGTGTGCCACAGTTAGTCCTGTTAATCCCATATTTTCATTGACTTCCAGTTCTGAGTTTGTACTTTCTAAAAGCTGACCAGGACAAAGAGACGCGTGCCATGTGTGGATACTTTTCAGTTCTGTAGTAGTGCAGTCTGAAGTCACATGTCTGCTGGGCTGCTGACACTCTTGGTTGGTTTCAGAAGCCTAGAGAGCCAGGGTGGCAGCAATCAACGTGAAACTTAAAACACGACTTTCAGGGATTCAGCAAGCAGAGTAAAGGGAGCATCAAAGCACTGTCAAGCCCTAGGACTTGAAAAGGAACTGAAGACTTGAAAATGTAATTTTAAAGTAGGCAAAGGATATGGCTAGTTTCTATGAAAAGATAGAAGCTCTGCTTTGTTGGTTACTGCCTTCAAGCTCAGAATCTGTGTTTGTTGTACAACGTGCATGCTCAAGCCAGTGAGTGATGTCCACCTAAGATGTAGTCCAGCTCCCTCTTGAGTAAAGAAAGGCTTAATGAAATACCAGATACTGATCCCTTACTAGCATTTCTAGGATTTATGCTAGCTAGGGAAATAATGATGCCACTGAACATAGATTTTACATCTGGGTTTCTATGATAAAGACATACTAGATTGGATGGATACTTATTCATAGAACACAGATGTATGTATGTTGCCTATATATGTGAAGGATGATCTCTGAAAGCCATGTATAAGCAACCTGTAACTGATGGTCTCTGGGGAACAGGGCTTGGTAGATGTGGGGATTTCCAGGATATGGAGTTCTTTACTATTTACTCCTCTCTCCATTTGAACTTTTTTTTTAGTGTATTTTATTTTGGACAAGAGACTGGGGAAGAATATATTCAAATTTAGGTTTTCTTCATTAATATTTAATATAAATGGCTTATTTGAAGGGTTACCTGTCTGTCTGGAAAATGTGGTTTTCGAGAAAGATTCAGACTCTTGAGAATTCTGCACTAGTGGGGTTTTGTGTTTTGGTTTTATTTTGTACTGAGATGCTCATGAAGGGCATTATCAGAGCGGGCTGCTCTTTGTTCTTTACTCGTATGGTAAATAGACATGTAGTTCAGGTGTTTTCTTGAAGCAGTTGTAAGAAAATTCAGTTTCATGCCGCGTGGGCCTGTTGCTGGGAGAACTTCTCTGCACTAGTAACCGTTGGCCAAGGTATGCTTGTGAGCAAAACCATTCACCCTGTTTTCTCTCCCATCTTTTAGGAAGGCTCAGGAGGAGAACAAGAAGGTGGTGCTGGCTGGCTGCGTTCCTCAAGCCCAGCCCCGCCAGGACTACCTGAAAGGACTGAGCGTCATCGGGGTAAGCCTCCTCCTGATGAGAGGAAACAGAGTTTATGTTGTCAGCACACGGTAGGGCCACATTTGATTTCCTTTTCTGGGCTGCTTATGGCTGTCCTAATGTACTTTCTGTTGTCCCTGCAACTTGGGTATGTCTGTGTAACTAAACTTCAGAGCATAAAGTGTTCAAGTTTCTCTGAGAAAGAGGAACGCAATAAAAAGCTGTGTTTGGAGTTTGGGCCCCTTTAATGACTGGATCTGTGTCCATCACCATCCATTTGCATATCGCTGCCATCCCTCCTCCCGCACTCAGTGCTCTCTTGGTGTGACACTCCCTAAAAGGCAGGAGCCCGTTGGGGATGCCCACCTCCCTCACACTCACTCCCCAGGGCAGATCCATTATGGCACAGGTATGAAGGCTTCGTGGACCCCGTGGAGGTCTCCTCCCTGGTCCCATCTCTGGATTCCCCTTTGCTTGCTCAGTGTGGAGTTGTGACTTTACGTTGAGTGGTGCAATTCCTTGAGTGAACTCCACCTCTCTCTTTAAGGTGTTAGCTTCGTGAAGGCAGCTTTTCAGTCTTTTCAAAGATTGTCACCACGTTTCTCCAGTCTTTCTCACGGCGCTCGGCTCTGTGTACACTCAGTATTTGTTGACTGACCATTGTGGTTCTGTCGCTGGTGTGCTTTTCCCTACTGTGCAGTGAGGTCTGTGAGGTGGAGGGCCTCTGCTCCCTCACTTTGTCTCTCTGGCCATCACCGTTTGCAAAACACCCTGATGCAGCTGGCATTTATGCAGCATTTCTTGACCAAGTGCTGGTACTTCCTGCATTCTGGCTGTCTCCTGAAGCTATATCCGGTAGTTCATCAATGGTTGCCTTATGTGTAAACGATCATTATATATCACGGTTGTATGCACATAGGAAAAGTTGATTTGAATAATTGGTGGCTGAATTGAGCTTTATAATGGATTTTTCTGTACTTCGTACAGTATTCACAAGTTCTTATATTGTGTTCTCAGCGTAATGAACTTTCTGCTGTGAAATTCTGACCTCACTAGTAAATTTAAGAATCTTTGAATAAACATTCTCACTTTAAACAAACAGAACCTGAATGTTTGGTAACTTTCGTTTGTTTTCACCATTTGTTTACATTTTGATTTCTCTTGGTTTAAGGAATGAACTGAATATGGGACTCCTGAGTTATCTTTTCATGTCAGACTAACTTTCTCTGTAAACATAATCCTGCTGTGTTGGGGAAATAAGAAACCAGTTAGAACTCTGAGAGATGGAGTGTGGCAAATGCCTGGAGTTCATCTTAGATTTCATCCCAAGGAAGTGAGTTACTGGGATAGCAGAATTTCTTTAGTCTGCAAAGCCGCTGTTCTGCATACATTATGATAGCATTTCTGAACTCCATGGTGTGCAGGAAAGAGCTTACACATGTCAGGATATAGGAAAATTCCCGAAATTTAGCACAAAGAAGGCTAGCAGTTTTTAAGGCCAACACAAGCTGTGACATTAGCAAAGGAACTTTTTTTTTCATGTTCAATCCATTTTTCATTCTGTCACATAGTTCGATTTAATACCATTAACCTTCTTTAGAATTACTTCATAGCATATTTTGAAATGTGGACAGTAAAGTCATACTTCTATCACCTAATACAATGTTGCATATCTCCTTCAGACTTTTAATCTTTGCATTTTCTTTTATTTAGTAGTACTCTCAAAACTATTTTATATCTTTAGTTTTCTGTGCTATCTCATGAATTTGTTAACTACTTAAAACCCTTTGTTAATGTCCTATCAAAGGATATATCATAATTTACTTAACTATTTTTTAATTATGGATATGTGTTTTCTAGTTTTTAGTAAATATATATGTATATATAGTATTAATGCCCATAGTAGGATTTTTATTTTAATTCAAAATTAGTATATTGTAAAAAGTTTTCAAAAAATTGCATTATTATCAACATTTTACAACATTTTATAATTATAACTTATATGTACACCTTCATTAAGTGTTATAAAGTATGAGTTTATTCTTTGTAAGCATTGTTTCATAGAATACTTTTTCTGTGGCAGCTATATGACATTTTATAAATATTCATCATTATTGACTTTAGAAAAATTTTATTTATGTATTAGAGAGGCAGAGGGAGAGGGTGTGTATGTGTGCAAGAGAGATAGTCAAAGAGACAAAGAAAACTGCTATCCATTGGTTCATTCCCCAAATGCCTACAACTGCCAGAACTGAGCCAGGCAGAACCTGGGAAGCCTGGGGCTGGTGTTGGGGCACAGTGGGTTAAACCGTCCCAACTGCTCCATTTCCTGTCCAGCTCCCTGCTAATGCCCCTGGGAAGGCAGCACATGGTGGCCCAAATACTTGGGCCTCTGTCACTCCCATGGAAGACCAAGATGGAGTTCCTGGCTTCTGGTTTCAGCCTGGCCTGGCCCTGGGTATTAGTACTATTTGGGAAGTAAAGCTACAGAGAGGAAGCGCCTATGCTCGCTCTCTCTCTCTCTCTCTCTCTCTCTCTCCTCTTTTTCGCTCTTAAAAACAGAAGCCAGGACCTAGAAGCTCAATCCAAATCTCCCACATAAGTGCCAGGGACTGTATTACTTGAGCCATCACATCTGCCTCCCAGTGTCTGCATTAGCTGGAAGCTAGTATTGTGACTGTAACTGGAACCTAATCCAAGTCATTCTAATATGGGATACAGTATCATAACGGCTATTTTCACTGCCAAGTCAGATGCCCACACCTGATTTTTATATGTAAAAATTATGTCGACAGAATGGAATATTTTGAAAAAAATTTAGATTAGGCAGTAAAACTTATCTATAATTTAATCTTTAGAGAGAGAAAGAGAGAGACTAATTTCTAAATAGATTTTTTGAAATTGTTGCCAAATAATAAACTTTCTGAAATATAGTTAGTTAAAAATAAATAAATGGAGGGGCCAGTGCTGTGATGCAGTGGGTTAATGCCCTGGCCTGTAGCCCTGGCATCCCATATGGGCGCCGGTTCTAGTCCCAGCTGCTCCCCTTCTGATCTAGCTCTCTGCTATGACCTGGGATAGCAGTGGAGGATGGCCCAAGTCCTTGGGCCCCTGCACCTGTGTAGAAGACCCAAAAGAAGCTCCTGGCTCCTGGCTTCAGCTCGGCGCAGCTCCAGCCATTGCGGCCATCTGGGGAGTGAACCAGCGGATAGAAGACCTCTCTCTCTGTCTCTACCTCTCTCTGTAACTCTGTCTTTCAAATAAATAAAAAATCTTTTAAAAAATAAATGGATAGATAAATGTTGTTTTACAGCAGAAAGCACCAATTTTGAGGTATGGAAAAGTAGGAGGATGTTTCAATTCAAGTGACTTAGCAGGACATTTGGAAGTTTACTGAATAAAGAATGTTGCTCCCTTGCAGCACTTCTATGACAGAGGAGGATTTTAATAGAGGTGGAAGGTAGAGCAGCTGTCACTGCCTTCTGTCCTTTCCAGAACTTCCGCTAGAATTTATCCATGTCATCCCTCTACACAGGGAGGATGTGCCGGGAGAGAAAGCTGCCCTTAGGTGTGTGTCAGTGGGTGAGCAAACTGTTACGGCACACTGGACTTAATGTATGAATGAGCTTATTAAGTGAGCATTGAAGAAGCTATTTAATAGATAAACAGAGCTGTTGCTTCCTTCATCATGTATTAATTTCCATCAATTTCAGCCTTTAAAAATAGGGCATCTGATTCGTTTCGGTAATCAGGGATAGCAGTGTGTGAGAGCACAGTGGTAGCAGCGATGTGACCCCAGACCCTTCAGTGTCCTCCTGTGTCCCTCTGTCTCCTGAAATGATCTAGTTGTGCTTCATAGGATTGGTGTGATGGTGCATGGCCAGAAAACACGGATTATCCATACCAGAAGTGAAGCCTGTCAACTTCCGAGTCCAAAAGAACTTGCTTTGGAGGGTGTAGTCTCTGTGCTCTCATCCTGGAGCAGCTGAGCTGTACACAAACCTGTCCAGCTTCTTCACATTCAGAGGAGAAAGAACAGATTCGAGGGGCTGGAGCTGTGACACAGCAGGTTAGCTGCTGACCACAATGCCGGCATCGCACGTGTGCATTGGTTCAAGTCCCAGTTGCTCCACATTGGATCAGCTCCCTGGCAATGTATTTAGGAAAGCAGCAAAAGATGACCTGAGTGCTTGGAAGACCCAGATGGAGTTCCAGGTTCCTGGATTCAGCTTGGCCCATCCCTGGTTGTTGCCATACACTTGGGGAATGTACCAGTGGGTGGAAGATCTCTCCTATTGTCTCCATCTCTCTCTATATATATAAGCCTGCCTTTCAAAAACTAAACCCTTAAAAAAAAAACTCAGAACATCAATGCCTTAGATAAAATTTTTTTCCTAACCCAAACACTTTTTCTTGGCATAAAATTAAGTTTATATGTTACAACTAGAACATATGTAGTTATAGAGAACTAGTGCAGAATCAAGATTTTTTTTTTAACCTTACAAGTAAATTTTCGTTTCTATTTGAGTAAATAATTGTTCTGGTTAGCCATCCACCTTGGAGTTTACAGGCACTGCCATTCTTTTGTTATGACTGTTTTTATCACTTGCCCTGTGTCTAGCTGTAGGTAGTGCTTTGATCTTGAGATTATAGCTTTTGAATGCCACTTTCCTTCTCTTGGGCTCATTTGCTGGCAGGAAGTTTCCTTTAGATTAGGCAACCAGAGACCAGGATGTTCTTTGCTAAAGTTCGGAGAAAAAAGGTGTTGTAGACAGCGAGAGTGGGGAAGACGGGCTTCAAATCCTGTTCCTGCCACATGGTTATTTCTTACACCCAGTGAGTCCTTCCTGTGCACCTGCTGTGTGAGGAAAGTACTGTCCTAGATATTGCAAATGCAACAGTGTGTAAAATCCTCAGAGATCCCCGTACTCACTGAGTTTCCATTGTGGGTCTTGGGGAGAAAGGTCTGGGTTGAATTCAGAAGCTTCTCTAGCCTCCTGCAGTATCTGATGAGAGGGTCC